CTAGTTTAGTGTTTTTATACCAACAATCGATCTCTTTCTCTAACTTGTATATGGCCATTTAAGCCTTTTTTTTCTGATGGACAGTCCATAGCCTTATATATTTTCTCTAGCCAAGCCACCAAGTCCTCTACATTTTGTGTGTCAAAAGTTCCCTCAAAAGTAGGTGGCTTATGCTTGTGGAAACCACTTATCCAATAATGGATATCCTATTTTATCACCGGTCTTGCCCAATTAGATGGCATACATTGAGATTGGATTGGTTGTTAAGGCACCAGAGAGTTCAAGCACGTCTTTGATTTGGGTGCCTTTAAAGCCCACAACCCCAGTGGTACACAAACTTTCTTCTATCAGCAGTGTTGGAATTTAGTTAAGAAAGACATTTGTCAAATGGTAAGAGAAGTTTTCAAAGATCTAAGAAGGGTTAAATCCATAAACAATACCAAACTTGTGTTTATTCCTAAATTAGAAACACCAAAAACCATTAGAGACTTCATACCTATATCCCTTTGCAACATTAGCTACAAAATTGTGACAAAAATAATTAGTAAAAGGATTAAAGAGATCATGAATAGGACGTTAAGAAGGAATCAATGTAGTTTTATTATAGGGAGACAAAGCAATGATAACATAATCTTGCCTAAGAAGTCATTCATTCCGTGAAGACCAAGCGAGGTAGAAGAGAGTGGATAGTAATGAAAGTGGATTTGGAGAAAGCTTATGATTGCCTTGAATGGACCTTCATCCATGATCTTTGAAAGATGTGGGAATTGAGGAAAACCTTTGTAACGTCATCATGGCTTGTATCTCAAGTTTGACTTTCTAAATTTTATAGAATGGGAAAGCTTCTGAAAGCTTCACTTTGATAAGGGAGGTTAGAAGAGATGACCCAATTTCCCTTGTATATTCACTTTGTATATGGAGAGATTGAATCATATAATTAGTGATGCTGTTGGAGAAGGTCATTGGGTCCTGCTTCATCTTAATTCGCAAAGCCTTTACCTCTCACATCTATTATTTATGGATGATTTAGCGCAATTTTACCCAATCCTAACTAGCCTCTAATGTTCATTAAAATTGAAGAACAGGAAGGCACGATCTTTTTGGGGGAAAAAAACTCCCCACAGGCATTTAGAATTCCACATATGTAATTATAAAAAAAAATTCATTCCCTTTTTTTGCCTTTCTTATTCCCTCTTTTGTAGGCCAATTAACCACTAGCAGTGGCAACGAGTCCCTTCAAGGTGGACTGCCACCACAAAAAAAATCCCTTTATAGCAGTTATTTCGTATGATTTGTAGCGATTTTAACCACTACAAAGACCATTTGTAGCAGTTTGAATAACCTCTACAAAATCCACCAAAACAAATGATTCTAGAGTAGTTTTTCAAACTGCTACTCAATAAGTCAAACTGCTATAGTATTTTGTACAGGTTATATGACCACTAATAATAACAAGACAAGATGACAAACACTTTGAGTGCATTAGTCGCAGTTTACAACTGCTACAAACATGGAAGGAAAGGCTTTTACTATTTGTAACGGTTACAGAATTACTATAAACAGGGCGAAATGAAAAATGAATATTAGTAGCGATTTTCAGACAATTGCTACTAATGAGCGAAAATTTCATTTGGCAGGAGTGAAAAGATTCAAGAGGGCATCAAAATTTGTAGTAGTTGAGGAACCACTGCAAATTTTGAAATTTGGGTAAAAATTTGGTGCCATAAAATGGGAGCTTTTTTTGCTTTGTAGCGGCTCTTTTTTGAAGAAGCACTACAAATGTTATTTTTCTTGGAAAAAAAAGTACCTGAATGAAACAAAAAATATTTAAAGATGTAGCAATAAAATTTTAAATTAATAAAAACACTATAGTATAAGATAACAGATCAGAGAGGGAGAAGACATATAGAGAAAAGTGAGAGAAGTGGGTAGGAAATGTGGAAGGAGTAAGGGGAGGATGGGGTATTTATAGAGGGCAAAATGTGTTTTGTAGTGGTTGCTTTCATAGTTTGTAGCAGTTTTTGATGTTAGTACTGATGTGTATTTGTAGTAGTTTTGTTTATGGTCATAACAATTTTTGTAGTTTTGTAGTGATTGTCATATTTGTAGTAGTTTTATAAAAGCCGCTACAAATTAAGGCAATGATTTTTTTTAAAAAAAATTTAAATTGTGACATTACCTAAAAAACAATGCGTGTAAGATAAACAGATGGAAATTTTATTCATCATTATCTTGCCTAAAAAAAAATTAAGACAAAACGTTAGAAATAAGAACATATTTAAAAAAATAAAATAAAACATAGTTGGTAATTAATATAATAAAATTATATATAAAAAGCGCACCTAACAATGGTTAACTTATCAACTCCTTTTGAGAAGAAGTTTTCAAAATTTATCAATTGGAAGGGCTCACTATCGTAACTAATGTCATCGCTGTCACCTATGTAGGAAAGATCTTGTGGCTTAAGGTGGACCACCATATGCCAATCTTTATGTTTCTCATTATCAACATAATAAACTTGGTGTGCCTCCTATGCAAAATAAATGGCTTATTATCTTCATATTTGCCTTAATGAATGAGCCCAAAGAAATTAACAAAGGTGATCCCCAATTGGTCAATTATGAGTCTCTATGAAGTTGTCGTATTTGCCTATGAATACTTGAATAGAGTCACGGTGAAAAGCCCTTAGTAAATTCGACAATGTCAACCAACTTTCCATAGTAGGGGATGCCTCCAAACCGCATGCCGCTGTCATTGCTACTAACATAACTCCCCGTTCCAAATGTACTAAAAACTCCAGAATTTTGTGTCAGCAAACCTTGATCACTTGCAACCATACAGAACTTGAACCCATTAACATTATACGCAATAAATCTTCTTGCATGCTCAAATGGACCGTGCACAAGAACTTTGAGTTTAGCAGTGAGGGTTGTCGTCATTACATATTTGACGGGTAAACCAATTGGGAAATTCACTGTGGACTTTTTTTTATCAACTTTAGCCAACATTTGTGTACGGACTCATAGCTACCGCTTGACATGACTTCTAAACTCTCTATAAATAAGGATAATTTTGTAGAAGAGTGAAAAATAAAGAAATTGAAAATTTAAAAAGATAAGCTAGCCAAGATAAAACTTACCAGAGGAATGGTTCATGATACTAACAAAGCTTTGCAATTCAATTTGCAAGAAGAATTACGTAAATAAATGGTAGATTTGGAGCTCTAATTTTCTATTTGAGTTCTAGCTGTTGCTACACTTTTGGTGGGTGTTCACTTTCTGTGTCTTTCTCTCATCTTCCAAATTCTCCTTTTTGCTTTTGAACTTGACATCCTTTCTCTTTCCACTAAGAGCTTGATATAATATATGAGATCTGAATTATTTTTGGGAAAATTGGGGATAAATCCCCCATTAAAAATTTAATTGGCAAATGAGACTTAAGGATTTTGAGCAACTTAACTTCTTTTATGTGCAACTTATCTTCCTTTGTGTGCAATGTATTTTCCCTTATATGCAATGATCTCCCTTTGTGCAATGTGCAACTCAATTTCCCTTTGTGCAAATAAAATTCTCTTATGTGCAAGTTATCTTCCCTATGTGCAAGCTAATTTCTTATATCCAAATAATGTTTGTACAAACTATTTTCTCTTTGTGCAGCTTATTATTCTTTGTGTGCAACTAATCTTTCCTTGTGCAATCAATCATCCTAGGTCCCATTTGCCAATTAAATTTTCAATGAGGGATTTATCTCTAATTTTAATTCCCACTATTTTTCTAGTTGTTGTGATGTGAAAATTAGTTGACTGTTGTGCTCTTGCCATTGGTTTGCTGATGAGGGAAGGAGAAGGATAGATGGGAATAAATATGTTTTTTGATTGCTTATGTAAAATTCTAAATGCCTACATGAAGTTTTTTTTCAAAAAAATTATGCCTATCTGTTCTCTTAGTTTAACGGATGTTATAGGCTAGCAAGGGTTGGGGAAAATTGCAATAAAGTTAAAACATGAGGGGTAAAATTATACCACGCGCATAAAAGATTAGAATGTTGGGTGTACCTAAAAAAATAAGATCAGAATGTTAGCTACACCTAAAAAATAATATCAGAATATTGGGTGCTCCTAAAAAATAAGATAGAGTATTGGGTGTACCTTTACCCTTGATTTAATAGGGTGTTTGGATACAATAATGAGGGAAAACAAAAAGTCGCTACAAAATCCTCACTAAAATCCGTTTCAAAATGCTATTTCTTAAATTTATGAGATTCAAGGAATGTTTGTAATGGGATTGTCATAATTAAAAGTATAATAAAAAAGTAAATGAAAAATAATAATTATTTATTTTTTCGAATTGGTGAATCGAGTAAAAGGACCTCACATTCATTTTAAACAAAATCGATTATTAAACTTTGTAGATGGAAAAATCATCAAAAGAATTATTTTTACTAGAGCATGATAATGCTTAAATTTAATTTAATAATAGGGAAAATAACACATAAAGAAACCTGAAATTATGAAATGCCAAAATGGGAAGCTAAGCAAATGTACTACCAGATAGGGAAGTGTTGCCTGATTTGGGATTATGCAAATGTTAGGCAATTACTAAAAAACCCTTTCGCCAGTCAGAGTTTGAAAGCAGAGAGAGAGAGGCACGAACTGCCACTCGTGCATTGCCACTCGTGCTTCCCGGTTTCTCGCTTCCACCATCTTCGTTGCTGCTCGAAAATACCAGCGAGTTGGATAGTTGATGACCCCGAAATAGTGTGTGCATAAGAGAGCAGAGGAGTTCGAAGTGGAAGGGTGTGCTGTTTGAAGGGTGAACGTGGTCGCGTCGGTGTGATTGTGTGGAAGGATGAAGGGTGGCGCGTGGTGATTCACCATTGCAGTTAACAAGCATCAGCGGCATTTTACTGAGGTAAGTTCAGGCATTTAAGTTTCATGCTGTGGTCAACATTTCTGGGTGAGTAGGGGAAGCAATGATTAGGCAATATTTAGATATGACGCGATGAAGTTTGTGAATGACAAGAACGGTGATTAAGGGTTTATGCTGAGTCTGTGTGGCATGCTATTTGTTTATTATAACAAAGTTGAGAACTATGAGGTTAAGGAAAAATGGGTTTTCAAATCAGTAAGAAAATTATCTGATTGAGTGGAAAGATTATATGAAAGAATTGGAAATGACAATAACATACTGGTAAATGACTATGAAGGAACCTGAAATGACCATATGCATAGTAATGACCTTGTTATCTGATTGACTGGAAAGATTATATGAACGAAGTGGAAATGACAATAACATACTGGTAAATGACTATGGAGGAACATGAAATGACCATATTCATAGTAATGACCTTACTGTCTGATTGACTGGAAAGATTATATGAACGAACTAGAAATGACAATAACATACTGGTAAATGACAATGAATTAATTGGAAACAACCATATGCATAGTAATGACCTTACTGTCAGTCTGTAATGGCCATATTGGTAATGACAATAAATTAATTGGAAACGATCATATTCATAGTAGCATCCTTACTGTCAGTCTGTAATGGCCATATTGGTAATGATAATAAATTAATTGGAAATGACCATATTCATAGTAGCATCCTTACTGTCAGTCTGTAATGGCCATATTAGTAATGATAATAAATTAATTGGAAACGACTATATTCATAGTAGCATCCTTACTGTCAGTCTGTAATGGCCATATTGTAAATGACAATGAAGGAACTGGAAATGACCATAACATACCTGGAAAGAACTATTATGACTTAATGATCATATATTGATGACTTTACAGAACTATACAAGATGGTGTTGGAAGTAGGGGAAGGGTCCACAAGCAATGAAGTACATAGTGGGCTTGTGTTGTTCAAAAGGGAGTATATGGCAAAACAAGGGGAGAAGTGTAAAAATACAAGAGAAGAAAAAATTGAAGTGGGGAAGGCATGGAGGGCCCTGAGTGAGGAAGAGAAAGATAGGTATAATGAGAGGGCAAAGAAAACGAAGCCAGAGAAAGGTGAGAAGAAGAAGTATGATGTTCCCTTGTACACCCGGTTCTCATTGCCCGGATTTCTATCATTGGCTGAGTATGTGAAGAAGAATAGGCAGTTAACTTCCACGTGATCTACTTGTGTCATTGTTGAGATGCTATGACCCACCAACATATTTTTTGACCATTAGGGGGCAAGGGCAGGCAATTGAAGCAAAAGATGCTCATGAGTTTCTAGTTGTACCTGATAGTGGAGAGGAAGTGAAATATGATGTTAGTGAGGATGACCCAGAATACAAGAGGTTAAAGGACACTTATTGGAAGGTTCCATTTACCCAGATACTAAAGAGGATATTATCTGGGAAAGAAAGCGACAATTTTGAGTTCCTACTTATGCTTTATACAGTTGGAGCTTTTTTATGTCCTGGGTCAAGCACAATTGTACATATAATTTTGTTGAAAGTGATGCGTCACATGATAGATGAGTTTGGGAAATATGATGGTCAACATACATAATCAAGAACCTGTGGAAGGAAATGGGAGACTTTGTGAAGATGACAAAGAAGAAGAAGAAAGGAACCTGCAATGTTGGAGGGTATCTTTATTTGTTGCTGGTAAGTCAATATTTTTCTTATGGTTCACTATATTTTTGTTTTATGTTATTGTTGCAGAAGTGTGACCTATCTTTATTTGGTTTTACAGCTGTATTTTGTTGAGCGTTTCTCGCTGGGATTGTCTGTTGACCGGGGTTCAACAAGCCCCATTGAATATTGGACCGAGGATAAAGGAGAGGGTGGAGAAAAAGAGAGGTAGCAGCATGGGAATATTGCATGGAAGCAGTGGCAGCAAGGTTTACTCAGCAAGACATGAGGATAGTCCAATTCTGCAGTCTTTAAATCCAGTATGTGGGAATTTAGAAAATATACGTGACCTGAGTTTAAGTAAGTCTATTAGCAAGGTTGATACTTGAGATGACAAGGTTTTATTTACAAATGACCAGTGAGATACTGGCATTCAATAACAGTGATCAATTTTTTTGATATCTTCATTTACTGTGTATGCAGGTGTTGAAGGAGTTGAGGGCTCGTTTTGTTAAGAAGCTTGAAGAAAGCCAGAGGACGTTAATGAAGGCTCTTTATGATGAGCTACTCAAAGTGCAGATTGGATTAAAAGCCAAAGTTAAGGGAATGGGGAATGAGAATGCCACTGCTAAAGAAGGGGTTGAAACAGCTGGTGATGCAAGTGGTAACAATGCTGAAGAAGCTGATGATGTTGACCAAGTGGTGGAGGAGATTGCAAGAGAGGTTGCAACGGGAAGCGGAGATGAGGAACTTGATGAGGATGAAACAAGCAAAGGAGATGATGAGAAGGATGAGGATGAAGATAAAGAAGAACATGACCTTCATGACAGGGAAGTCAGTGATTATTACATGGTTGAGGAGGTGGAAGATGAGGGTGACCGTGATGGTCGTGGAGGTGATGATGATGACGATGAGGATGAGGAGGAAGATGACCATGGTGACAGGGAAGGAGGTCATATGGTTGATGAGGAGGAAGATGACCATGATGACATGGAAGTCAATCATGATTATGTGGTTGAAGAGGCAGAAGATGATGATAAGGAGGTTCGGGATTCAGATAATGAGGGTGAGGAAGATACACATGTACTGACAATGACCCCTACCAATGTTCCTTTGCTGTTGGATCGTGAATGGGTGAGTAGTGATAGTGGGGGAGGAAGGAGGGCCTGAAAAATCGACTAAGCTTAGGAGGTCAACAAGGGCAAAGAGTTCCACAATTAAATCTCCGTGAATGGATTTCAAGGCAACTCTAAGGACGAAGAGGCCAAAGGAGGAAAGGGACATTTTTTTCACCCATGATATTTGCAGAAGTTCTCCAGCAGAATAACCTGTCAATTTTGTCAAATTCAAATTCTGTGTGGTAAATGCACATGTCAGAGGTGTTAACTAACTGTGTTGATATTGTTGTGTCCACAGGAGGGATTGTGGGGTGCACTACATGATGTGACTGAGAAGATGGGAACCTGGTGTGACCCTTAGCTACATAGAGGAAGAAGTTGCTGGATTTCGTCCTGACCTGACATGGTGGTTGGTGAATCATGAACTGAATGAAAAACGTGACGAGGCATTGGCTCTTATTCGACAACCACAACCAACCAAGAGCAGAAAGTCCAAGAAAAGACGTCCGTCTTATGTGTCTCGATGTTAGGCTCATAATTCACTTGTCCTCTGTTAGATTGTTGTACGTAATGTACATTGTAGGCTGACCAAAAATTTACTGTATATTCTTATGGTTAACAGAGATTGATGTCCATAAATTTATGAATGTTGAGATCCATGATGCCAATTTATTCCCAAGTGACGTGAATGAATTTGAGTTTAACCACACCAAAACAAATGATGACAACAACCCCATTGGATATGTGCTATTGGTTTCCATTTCTTGTTCAGGTCACTCAATTTTACTTCAATATATACTGTTGGTATCCGACAAAAAATGACACTAAGTAAAGCGAATATAACTACGATAATGATAAGAATAACCTGATATGATCATATAACATTAGTTTAACATGAATTGTGAGCTTATGTTGATAGCATCACTGCCAATGACCAGAACAAATTTAAAAATGACAACAAGTGATCCGAATATGACAACAACAATGATAAACATAACCTGATCTGATTATATAACATTAGTTCAACATGAACTGTCAGCTTATGCTGATAGCATCACTGCCAATGACGAGAACAAATTAAAAAATGACAACAAGTGATCCGAATATGACAACGACAATGATAAGCATAACCTGATCTGATTATATAACATTAGTTCAACATCAACTGTTAGCTTATGCTGATAGCATAACTGCCAATGACCAGAACAAATTTAAAAATGACAACAAGTGATCCGAATATGACAACGATAATGATAAGGATAACTTGATCTGATTACATAACATCAGTTTAACATGAACTGTCAGCTTATGCTGATAGCATCACTGCCAATGACTAGAACAAATTTAAAAATGACAAGAAGTTATCCGAATATGACAACGACAATGATAAGCATAACCAGATCTGATTATATAACATCAGTTCAACATGAACTGTCAGCTTATGCTGATAGCATCACTGCCAATGACCAGAACAAATTTAAAAATGACAACAAGTGATCCGAATATGACAACGACAATAATAAGCATAACCTAATCTGATTATATAACATGAGTTTAACTTCAACTGTCAGCTTATGCTGATAGCATCACTACCAATGACCAGAACAAATTTAAAAATGACAACAAGTGATCCGAATATGACAACGACAATGATAAGCATAACCTCATCTGATTATATAACATCAGTTTAACATAAATTGTCAGCTTATGTTGATAGCATCACTACCAATGGCTAGAACAAATTTAAAATGACAACAAGTGATCTAAATATGACAACGACAATGATAAGCACAACCTTATCAGATTATATAACATCAGTTTAACATGAACTGTCAGCTTATGCTGATAGCATCACTACCAATGACCAGAACAAATTTAAAAATGACAACAAGTGATCCGAATATGACAACGTCAATGATAAGCATAACCTGATATGATTATATAACATGAGTTTAACATCAACTGGAAGCTTATGCTGTTAGCATCACTGCCAATGACCAGAACAAATTTAAAAATGACAACAAGTGATCTGAATATGACAACGACAATGATAAGCATAACCTGATCTGATTATATAACATCAGTCTAACAACAACTGGAAGCTTATGCTGTTAGCATCACTGCCAATGACCAGAACAAATTTAAAAATGACAACAAGTGATCCGAATATGACAACGACAATGATAAGCATAACCTGATCTGATTATATAACATCAGTCTAACATCAACTGTCAGCTTATGCTGATAGCATCACTGCCAATGACTAGAACAAATTTAAAAATGACAACAAGTGATCCGAATATGACAACGACAATGATAAGCATAACCTGATCTGATTATATAACATCAATCTAACATCAACTGTCAGCTTATGCTGAGAGCATCACTGCCAATGACCAGAACAAATTTAAAAATGACAACAAGTGATCCGAATATGACAATGATAATGATAAGCATAACCTGATCTGATTATATAACATCAGTCTAACATCAACTATCAACTTATGCTGATAGCATCACTGCCAATGACTAAAACAAATTTAAAAATGACAACAAGTGATCCGAATATGACAACGACAATGATAAGTATAACCTCATCTGATTATATAACATCAGTTTAACATAAATTGTCAGCTTATGCTGATAGCATCACTACCAATGGCTAGAACAAATTTAAAAATGACAACAAGTGATCTAAATATGACAACGACAATGATAAGCACAACCTTATCAGATTATATAACATCAGTTTAACATGAACTGTCAGCTTATGCTGATAGCATCACTACCAATGACCAGAACAAATTTAAAAATGACAACAAGTGATCCGAATATGACAACGTCAATGATAAGCATAACCTGATATGATTATATAACATGAGTTTAACATCAACTGGCAGCTTATGCTGTTAGCATCACTGCCACTGACCAGAACAAATTTAAAAATGACAACAAGTGATTTGAATATGACAACGACAATGATAAGCATAACCTGATCTGATTATATAACATCAGTCTAACATCAACTATCAGCTTATGCTGATAGCATCACTGCCAATGACTAGAACAAATTTAAAAATGACAACAAGTGATCCGAATATGACAACGACAATGATAAGCATAACCTGATCTGATTATATAACATCAATCTAACATCAACTGTCAGCTTATGCTGAGAGCATCACTGCCAATGACCAGAATAAATTTAAAAATGACAACAAGTGATCCGAATATGACAATGATAATGATAAGCATAACTTGATCTCATTATATAACATCAGTCTAACATCAACTATCAACTTATGCTGATAGCATCACTGCCAATGACTAAAACAAATTTAAAAATGACAACAAGTGATCCGAATATGACAACGATAATGATAAGCATAACCTAATCTCATTATATAACATCAGTTTAACATCAACTGCTAGCTTATGCTGATAGCATCACTGCCAATGACCAGAACAAATTTAAGAATGACAACAAGTGATCTGAATATGACAACGATAATGATAAGGATAACGTTATTTGATTATATAACATCAGTTTAACATGAGCTGTCAGGTTATGCTCATACCATCACTGCCAATGACCAGAACAAATTTAAAAATGACAACAAGTGATCCGAATATGACAACGATAATGATAAGGATAACTTGATTTGATTACATAACATCAGTTTAACATGAACTGTCAGCTTATGCTGATAGCATCACTGCCAATGACTAGAACAAATTTAAAAATGACAACAAGTGATCCGAATATGACAACGACAATGATAAGCATAACCAGATCTGATTATATAACATCAGTTCAACATGAACTGTCAGCTTATGCTGATAGCATCACCTCCAATGACCAGAACAAATTTAGAAATGACAACAAGTGATCCGAATATGACAACGACAATGATAAGCACAACCTTATCAGATTATATAACATCAGTTTAACATGAACTGTCAGCTTATGCTGATAGCATCACTACCAATGACCAGAACAAATTTAAAAATGACAACAAGTGATCCGAATATGACAACGACAATGATAAGCATAACCTCATCTGATTATATAACATCAGTTTAACATAAATTGTCAGCTTATGCTGATAGCATCACTACCAATGGCTAGAACAAATTTAAAAATTACAACAAGTGATCTAAATATGACAACGACAATGATAAGCATAACCAGATCTGATTATATAACATCAATTCAACATGAACTGTCAGCTTATGCTGATAGCATCACTGCCAATGACCAGAACAAATTTAAAAATGACAACAAGTGATCCGAATATGACAACGACAATGATAAGCATAACCTGATCTGATTATATAACATGAGTTTAACTTCAACTGTCAGCTTATGCTGATAGCATCACTTCCAATGACCAGAACAAATTTAGAAATGACAACAAGTGATCCGAATATGACAACGACAATGATAAGCACAACCTTATCAGATTATATAACATCAGTTTAACATGAACTGTCAGGTTATGCTGATAGCATCACTGCCAATGACCAGAACAAATTTAAAAATGACAACAAGTGATCCGAATATGACAACGTCAATGATAAGCATAACCTGATATGATTATATAAAATGAGTTTAACATCAACTGGCAGCTTATGCTGTTAGCATCACTGCCAATGACCAGAACAAATTTAAAAATGACAACAAGTGATCCGAATATGACAACGACAATGATAAGCATAACCTGATCTGATTATATAACATCAGTCTAACATCAACTGTCAGCTTATGCTGATAGCATCACTGCCAATGACCAGAACAAATTTAAAAATGACAACAAGTGATCCGAATATGACAACGACAATGATAAGCATAACCTGATTTGATTATATAACATCAATCTAACAACAACTGTCAGCTTATGCTGAGAGCATCACTGCCAATGACCAGAACAAATTTAAAAATGACAACAAGTGATCCGAATATGACAATGATAATGATAAGCATAACCTGATCTGATTATATAACATCAGTCTAACATCAACTATCAACTTATGCTGATAGCATCACTGCCAATGACGAGAACAAATTTAAAAATGACAACAAGTGATCCGAATATGACAACGAGAATGATAAGGATAACTTGATTTGATTACATAACATCAGTTTAACATGAACTGTCAGCTTATGCTGATAGCATCACTGCCAATGACTAGAACAAATTTAAAAATGACAACAAGTGATCCGAATATGACAACGACAATGATAAGCATAACCAGATCTGATTATATAACATCAGTTCAACATGAACTGTCAGCTTATGCTGATAGCATCACCTCCAATGACCAGAACAAATTTAGAAATGACAACAAGTGATCCGAATATGACAACGACAATGATAAGCACAACCTTATCAGATTATATAACATCAGTTTAACATGAACTGTCAGCTTATGCTGATAGCATCACTACCAATGACCAGAACAAATTTAAAAATGACAACAAGTGATCCGAATATGACAACGACAATGATAAGCATAACCTCATCTGATTATATAACATCAGTTTAACATAAATTGTCAGCTTATGCTGATAGCATCACTACCAATGGCTAGAACAAATTTAAAAATTACAACAAGTGATCTAAATATGACAACGACAATGATAAGCATAACCAGATCTGATTATATAACATCAATTCAACATGAACTGTCAGCTTATGCTGATAGCATCACTGCCAATGACCAGAACAAATTTAAAAATGACAACAAGTGATCCGAATATGACAACGACAATGATAAGCATAACCTGATCTGATTATATAACATGAGTTTAACTTCAACTGTCAGCTTATGCTGATAGCATCACTTCCAATGACCAGAACAAATTTAGAAATGACAACAAGTGATCCGAATATGACAACGACAATGATAAGCACAACCTTATCAGATTATATAACATCAGTTTAACATGAACTGTCAGGTTATGCTGATAGCATCACTGCCAATGACCAGAACAAATTTAAAAATGACAACAAGTGATCCGAATATGACAACGTCAATGATAAGCATAACCTGATATGATTATATAAAATGAGTTTAACATCAACTGGCAGCTTATGCTGTTAGCATCACTGCCAATGACCAGAACAAATTTAAAAATGACAACAAGTGATCCGAATATGACAACGACAATGATAAGCATAACCTGATCTGATTATATAACATCAGTCTAACATCAACTGTCAGCTTATGCTGATAGCATCACTGCCAATGACCAGAACAAATTTAAAAATGACAACAAGTGATCCGAATATGACAACGACAATGATAAGCATAACCTGATTGATTATATAACATCAATCTAACAACAACTGTCAGCTTATGCTGAGAGCATCACTGCCAATGACCAGAACAAATTTAAAAATGACAACAAGTGATCCGAATATGACAATGATAATGATAAGCATAACCTGATCTGATTATATAACATCAGTCTAACATCAACTATCAACTTATGCTGATAGCATCACTGCCAATGACGAGAACAAATTTAAAAATGACAACAAGTGATCCGAATATGACAACGATAATTATAAGCATAACCTAATCTAATTATATAACATCAGTTTAACATCAACTGCTAGCTTATGCTGATAGCATCACTGCCAATGACCAGAACAAATTTAAGAATGACAACAAGTGATCTGAATATGACAACGATAATGATAAGGATAACGTTATTTGATTATATAGCATCAGTTTAACATGAGCTGTCAGGTTATGCTCATACCATCACTGTCAATGACCAGAACAAATTTAAAAATGACAACAAGTGATCCGAATATGACAACGACAATGATAAGCATAACCTAATCTGATTATATAACATCATTCTAACATCAACTGTGAGCTTATGCTGATAGCATCAGTGCCAATAACCAGAACAAATTAAAAAATGACAACAAATGATTCGAATATGACAACGACAATGATAAGCATAACCTGATCTAATTATATAACATCAGTCTAATATCAACTGGCAGCTTATGCTGATAGCATCACTGCCAATGACCAGAAAAAATTTAAAAATGATAGCAAGTAATCTGAATATGACAACGATAGTGATAAGCATAACCTGATCAGATTATATAACATCAGTCTAATATCAACTGTCAGCTTATATTGATAGCATCACTTCCAATGACCAGATCAAATTTAAAAATGACAACAAGTGATCCGAATGTGACAACGATAATGATAAGCATAACCTAATCTGATTATATAACATCAGTTTAACATGAACTGTCAGCTTATGCTGATAGCATCACTACCAATGATTAGAACAAATTTAAAAATGACAGCAAGTAATCCGAATATGACAACAATATTGATAAGCATAACCTGATCTGATTATATAACATCAGTTTAACATCAACTGTCAGCTTATGCTGATAGGATCACTGCCAATGACCAGAACAAATTTTAAAATGACAACAAGTTATCCGAATAGGACAACGACAATGATAAGCATAACCTGATCTGATTATATAACATCAGTCAGCTTATGCTGATAGCATCACTACCAATGACTAGAACAAATTTGAAAATGTCAACAAGTGATCCGAGTATGACAACGATAATGATAAGCATAACCTGAGCTGATTATATAACATCAGTTTAACATCAACTGTCAGCTTAAGCTGATTACATCACTGTCAATAGCCAAAACAAATTTGAATATAACAACAACTAATGCACCATTAACAAAAGCTAACATCTTCATAACAGTAACTTCCTTTCATGTATTCAACAACAAGTGGACATTAAGATATTGGCCACACTTAATGCTCCCTTATCACTGAAATTTCTATCACCTTACTTACAAAAAAAATGTCTCCACCTAGCTCCTAACTACAACCCCAGTCCCAAAAAAGTTGACAAGGGTGGAGCATACAATTATGCACACCAAAAAACGACTCATCCCCACTGTACTCAAAACTTCATGATGGGTTAGGATTTCTACAATTCCTCCTTGTGTGTCCAGGTTAGTGGCATCTTCCACATTGGTATATCCGTTTGTTCTGGAACTGTGATTCATCCCTGTTTACTTTTGGCCTTCCTAGTGGTCGAGATGTAATGGGAGGTAGCAAAAAAACTTGCTCACTGACATTTCCTATCCTATAATAGTCATTTGGGTGAGGCATATTTGTTGTTACCATAGGAATCATACTGCGAGCATAAATCTTTTCTTGTGATGACTTTTTATAGCAATTATCAACATAATCATAAACATTGCCGTGCACAATCTTGATGGCAGCAAAAGCATGGGAACAAGGGATCCCCGTCATTTGCCAAGATTTACAACTGCATTGGTGTAGTCCAAGATTAACCCGATGGTCTCCATGTGATGTTGTCACCTTCACTCTTCCCCCACCATAATTTTCAGCATACATATGGTCAGACCCAGCAACTACTCTCTATATTTGGACCAACGCAATTCTTCCATTCGGTCATAGCCACATAGGAGGCATGCAGCTTTCTTGCAACCTTATCTCAGTGCTCATAGATCAATTGGGGTACAGTATGCTTTCTCTCATTGACCATCCATGCATTGAATGATTCTGTTATATTACTTGTAATATTGTCCCATCTTTTATATGGGAACCTGCTTTTAGCCCACCTATCTACATCCCCATGACGAATAAGCCAATCAAATAGCCTTGGAGAAAAGGCTCTCATGTCATCCATTATTGCCTCAAATTTCTCATCCGTCCTTGCATATGCAATTTTATCCAATAAATGTAGTGCATCATCTTTTGATCGGCCATTTGTCCTTGTTTGCCCCTTATTCATTTTCATAATTTCTGAACTAAAATTCTCCTTGATGTGTCTATAACAAAAGGCATGCCTTTGACCCCCAAAGATTGATGCCACTCCTCCGATGATAGCATTGTGTTGATCTGATACAATTGTTACTTCCACAAAACCCAAGATTTCTTTTATCATATAGAAAAACCACGTCCAGTCATCTAGTGTTTCTCCCTTGACAATTACAATTGCAAACGACAGCAGCTCGTTATCTGCATCATAAGCTGAAGCTGACAATATTGTCCCCTTGTATGGTCCACTTAAGTGAGTTCTATCAACATACATAATATACCTCGCGCCCCCCAAGAAACCCTCAATGCATGACCCGTAGGCAATGAAAACACGCTCAAACCAGTTCCCAATAGCAGTCCATTCAGCCACAGTTTTTTCATCTGTTTCCTTTAGCCTTTCGCATACCCATGGTATAAGCATGTATGATTGTTCAGGCCTGCCATATATGTCTTCCAATGACTTCTCTTTTGCTCTATAAGCCTGTTTATATGTTAGATCAATCCCATACTCTTGTTTCAACTTCTTCCTTATCTCAGAAGTACACTTGTCTGTATGATCCCTCATCTCATTAATTATTATTGATGAGTTCAAACTAGCTCTTCCACTATGCATCACATCCAAGCTATCTTGGGTAGAATGAACATGCCAGTTTATAAATGTCGTTACTCGTAGCACATCGCAACTCTTCCTCACATGATTTGCGCATAGCTTCCATAGATAGCCCTCAACTTTATACCTCATCGACATGAATTCCTTGTTATTCCTCACATACTTAGGCACAAACTTGTTTATAAGTGCAAACTTGTATGCAAATACCCGAAATACATCTGCACTAGGAAAACGTTGGCCCACTCCTGTAAAAAGTCCCCTCCATTCCACATGAACCATCTCACTACCATCTGTATCCTCAACTCCGATGGATGTATCCATATTAGGGGGCCCACTTCTTTCATTATTGCCACATTCACGAGCATTTTCTTCACTAAACCAGCCATAATCACAACACAAACTAATGGGAGACGCATCCAATTCCGTTTACTGTGACATGCCCATGAATCTCTCTGTTCTACATTCAGAATGACAAGACTCGTTAACACAAATGACAGGATGAAATTCATAAATGGCAACAAATAGTTAGGATAAACTTCCACTTACATTTCTACATTGTCCCTTGGTTGGGGACCCCCTGCCTTTTTCGGCCACATACACATGACCGCTATTCCCATTGTATTGAAAGAGGTTATACATTTCAGCATTGTCATGAAGTTCAATCAATGTCTTCTCATCAAAGGCCACTGTGTACCTAATGTCATAATTTCTTCTATCACCACCAATCTACTCACATATCATTAGCCTCAATTCTTCAAGTGTCAGCCCATCCTTAATACTTCTTAACCTCATGCCACCTCCATTATATCTCACTTCACCTTCACCATTTGTCACAAATTTTTGTCCCACATGAAAATAACAGAACATCTCCTTCCCACAATATGACCCAGCTTTGAAATTCATTTTCCTTCATTACCTGCACTGATAACTGAAGTCGAATGATTATATGACTTAATACCATCATCATCAACTTACATGACCAACTTAGGGTTTGACACATTCATGCTTATAATTTGCAACCAAACACTTATTTCTTTCATGTCCACACTAATGCTTCATTTTCTCAGAATCAATCCACTCCATTATTCGAATCCCCCTTCAACATTGTACCTTTATCTGACACTAATCACTCTAACCCATTTATGACACCATCAAACCCCTCTCCCTCAGTGTTTTTCCTTCCCTATGCATTCACCCTCTGATCACCGTCCTTCCCCACAGTTTCTATATACAGACACCATCTCCCTGCTTTGCCACCCTCTCCACCTCAAAATTGTCACATCCAGCATTATGGTAATTAGAGATAAGAAATATTCTCAAATTATTGAGGATTAAAAATGAAAAAAAAGTCAAAGGATTTTGGTGGAAAATAATTACAGTAATTTTCCAAGCCAATTATAGGAAATTGACTAATTAAGGAAAATTGGTCAAATGTAAATAAGGAAAAATATTTCTGAGCCTTGGAAAATTAAGGAAAAATAGGGATAATATCCTTTGAGGGTTATATGAAATTTTAAAGTTGGTTTATGACCAAATTACCCTTAGAGGAATTATAAGAGAATTTAAGGGTGATTTAGGCTAATTAAGGGATTTTATTTGGAAAATTCCAAATAAATATTTTTAGGGGAAATAAAATTTCAAGAAAATTCCTATGAGATCCCAAGGAATTATAAGGAATTATAGAATTAAATGAAGACCCTCAAGTGCCCAAGATTTTTCCAAATAAATGTGAAAAGTGGAAAAATCCCTAAAGGGAAGGAAATTAATTTTCCTTTATATTTAATTATTAGGAACTTAATTTTGAGACAAAGAGGGCAATTTGGGAAGATAAAAATGAGGATATTAAATTAAGGATCTGATAAAAAATAATTACAGAGGCTAAGCTACTGTAATTATAGAAAAGAAGTTAAACTCAGAGCATAAAGTATACCGATAAAACAAGATTGGTGTCTTGCAAATCCAAGGGATCCTATTGAGCCATATGTCAAGCTCTTGAAGAAGAAGATTTGAATTAGCCAAGTGTCATTCCATAAATGGAGAGGATTTTGACTTTAATAATTAATTTCATTTGGAATTATGTTAATTAGGAAAGAGGAATCAAGACTTAGTAGGGTAATGACACTTGGATTATCATTAAAGAGGGTGGTTGAGATATTTTGAGCCATTAATCAGCTCTTCTCTCCCCATTTTCAGACCCACATTTCGTCCAAGGAGAAAAATAGAGAAAAAGAGAGAGTTTGAGAGGAAAAAGAAGAAAGCAAGGACCTTTGATCATCCAAGTAAGGTTTCAAGGTTAGATCTTGGTTCTAGAGATGTTCTTACTTTTTTTTCTTTCATTTTTATGGTTTAAAATCTGTCTCTTCCCTCTCTTAATGTGGACCGAACTGGTTGTTAAAAAAGGGGAAAGGAGTTTTGGTTTTTACACTTGCTAAGACACAACTATACAAGCTATATTCTAGTGTGTGCAAGTGAGTTTAAGTGGTTTTAAAGCACTTTTTCATGGTTGTTTTTGTGAGAGTTCTTTTCGGCCAAGAGGTGAAATGGACCCTAGGATGAGCTTTTCATTGTTTTAAGGCTTCCATGATGCTTAAAATGAGAAATGATGTAGGGTAGACTAAAAGAAACAAGTGTTGGAAGCTTAAAAGCAAAGCTGAAAATTTTGGGTCAAAACCTCTAATGGTTTGGTCAGTTTGTTGCTGGAAGAAGCAGTTTTATTTTCATAAATCTAAGCCCATTTTTGAAATCTACATGAAAAACCATGTAGGGTTAGGTCAAGGTGTGATTTTTAGGATTAAAGAGAACCAAGTCTAAAAGTAGTGAACAAGGAGGGAGCTTTATGGTTCAAAAATCATTTTGATGGATGTTCTTGCTTTTTCATGGTTGGATAATGATTATGGCTGCCTTTGTTGATGGATTATATGGTTAGGGTTTGATATTTGTCAAGGGAAAGAGGAGAAGGAAGAAAAGCTAAGACTTTTGGAGCAAGGTAGTAAGTTAAACCTAGCTACTACCACTAACTAGCATTGTTGATTATTGTATGGTTAATTACTATTATTGTGGTTGAGCTTTCTTGATTGTTATGTGGCTGCTCTTTATAGTATCTTGCTTTGGCCTTTGCATGTTTGAGTTTGCCAAATGATAAGCATGTTAGTTTACCAATAGTAGCTAATATGATCATGCATAATAATGATGCTTGCTTGGTGTTATAGTTGGTTAATTTGCTACTGGGATTTTCAAAAATCTCATCCCCCAAAAATAATGTAACATTTTAGGGCCTGAATCTTCAAAAGAGAAGCTGCATATTGAAGGTTGATTTGTGGAGTTTAGCCACAAAATTTCGTGATAATATTCTGGTTATGTACATATTAAACTAACAGTGCTGGAAGCACACTGACCCTGACCGGTTTATGTGACTTTTTGATTATGTTCCTGAATGCTTTAAATCATGAAATTTGGTATGATGAAAGATGAAATCCTGGGCTTCAAATTGATAGCTAACACGTTAAAAATGGCCTAGTATACGATTTATAATAAGTTTTCAAAGTTAATGGTCAGAATCTGGAAATCAAGGTTTTTGACAAATGGATAGTGTTGCTTTTCTCAAAACCCTGACGCCTTCTCATAAGGAATTGGACAATGAGACTATTTTTCCTTGAAATAGGACTTAAAGAGATTTAAGTAGAATTTTGAACCACCCCAATTGGATTTTTGTAGAATAAGTTATGAATTTTTGAAGTTGGGCCAGAAAAATTGGATTTTCACTTGATGAACATTAAAAATCCGAAAATTAGCATTTTTATGGTAAAAAGTGAGTCCAAGACCATCCAATGTGGTCAAAAATGATTTTGAAAGGAACCTAATTCAATATAATAGTAAGGTGTGACAAAAACCATCCCCACATCGACGACATTGCCATCCAACGGGAAGAGGAAAATCAACCAGTGCATAAAGGAGACAGACAAAAGAGAGAGAAGAACAATATAGTTATTGAATACTAACCTCACTTGCTTACTTTGTTCATCTCTTGCTTCACGTGTTCATGATCCCACGTTCATGGTCCCTCCAAAGTTTTTCCTCCAGCTCCCGCCACAAATTGCACACTTCCACCGATCATTTTCTCTGTTTGGATCATGAGGGGCTGTTTGGTAATTGCCCAACATTTGCATAATCTCAAATCAGGCAACACTTCCCTATCTGGTAATACATTTGCTTAGCTTCCCATTTTGGTATTTCATAATTTCAGGTTTCTTTATGTGTCATTTTCCCTTAATAATATTAAATATTTGATAATCTCATAAAAATGGATGTATAAGTAGTGACTTAAGACTAATTTATACGGTAATTTGTTGGGTTAGGTGTTGATAAAAATCAAGAGCTCATATGTTTGTCTATATACATAAAAGATGGTGATATGAGTTTGATTTATGAATAAATTGTACATATCCTATGTTTCTTGTTTTAGGTTCTCAAATCCTTTTCAAAAATTTGCTCTGTAGCTGAAATGTCTGTCTTTTAACATCTCAGAGTATACATTTGGAGGTATTAAAGTTCTGATAAATCACGTTGCAAGCCCATAGATTAAAATTTTCAGTTAAAATTCTCGGGTTACATTCTAGATTTGAGGTCCAAATTTGAGAAATCATAACTAATTTTAGAAAAATTGTATCGAGATGGTTCAAATTTCTATTTGAAATTCTTTTAATCCTCTATAGGGAAAAAAATAATCATTGGCTCAATTCCTTGCCCAATTCATACAGTTTTAATATGTAAAATTTACAGTTTATTTGGTTAATTTGCCAATTTTTAGAATTTTGGGCTAACTTTGATCAACTGTATCTGCTGGTATACACATTTAATTCAAGTGATCTACCACTTGTTTTAAAGCTCTAGATGTGTACTAATTACCCACCAAATTTTCATAAACAAACTCATTCGTTTGTTTAAGATTTACTATCTCAAGTTAATTGCTCACTTTGGGGTAACTTATATCCTTAACTCGCAATAACAATTCATAATAAATTCCATACATAAATAATACCAATCTATCATTGCATAAAACATTCTTATATGCCAACTGCATAATTTACCATTACAAAACACCCCTGGCATGTTCAAAATACAAGCGTCATTCAAGAGGCAAAAATCAATATATATTAACATCATCTCATAGTTCAACTTCTTTTATGGCACCTTCACATTTCCCTTTCTCCTTGGCGATTCCAGCCCTTAAAATGTTGTCATTTAAATATGATAGGGGTAAGATTCAAGATAATCTCAATAGCAAAGAATTACAATTAATATTCTAACAATGCATAGTATAG